ATGATTTCGTTGATCATTCGTTTTTAATTTACACTAAAAATGAGAGATCGGCGAAACCAATTGCTTAATATGTTTTAGATGTCGTAAATAAAGTTCATTCCATCCATTTTTATTTATTTTCCAAATGTCTCAACGAAAAAAAAGAAAAACGAATAATATTAACAATACTACTACCGTTAATAATAATTCTGAAGATATTCCATTTTATCATTATTCAAAATTTGAAAATGTAAAATTAATTAATGAAAATATTAAAAATGTTTATAAAGCTCACATTAAAAAAATAGTTTTTCAGCAAGAAAAAACCGCAGTCGAAGTAGTAGCTCTTAAATATATTTCTTTGAATAATTTAATAAATGAAGTGAGTTATCTATTAAAATGGTACAAAAAATTATTTTTATTTTTAGTATTTTTTTTTTACTATTTGTTTATTTATTTAGGTTAAAAGACATCGAAAATTGGAAATTAATGATAGCATTCTTAAGTTTTATGGCATTACTAAACAAGGTAAAAATAATTTACTTTAGACAATACTTTATATTAGTTAATTTTTAATTTATTTTAATTTAGTTATTAATTATTTTTTATACAGAGAATGCCAAGAATCATATGATTATTCTCGAATATGCAAGTAATGGTTCTCTACGTCAATATTTGAAAACAAATTTCCAAAAATTCGATTGGAATATAAAATTAAATTTGGCAAAACAAATTTCAAATGCTTTAATGAATTTACATGATAATAATATTATTCATGGAAACTTGGTAATTATTTATTTAATTAATTTTAAGAATAAATTAATTTCTAGTTTAATTATTTTATGAATTAAGTTATTTTTTGATAATTTAATATTTTTTTGACATTCAAATTAGACTTCTGAAAGTATTCTTGTTCATAATGGGACTATTAAACTCAATGATTTTGGCATAAACTATTTAAAATCCCTTACTACTGTTACTATCCCCTTCCAATATACTGATTTTAGATATTTAGAATTATTTAATAAAAGTTTAGATATTTTCAGTTTAGGAATTATCCTTTGGGAAATTTCTAATGATGTTATTTCTCCTTTTGAAGAGAAATTAATAACAAAATCATCACTACTATCGCCAACAATTAATAATATTATTGATTTGATAAATGATAATATTATAAAAATAAAAAGAGAAAAGAGTATACTTGGAATTCCTCCTAAATACAAGGAAATTTATACCGGTATGGATTTACATATGATTTAAATTATTTATTGACAGTATTATTAACTGTATTATTAACTGTAAATGTCAATTGGATACTTTAATTTTGAATAGATTGTTTGAAACATCATGGAAATTCCCGACCAAGAATCTTTGAAATTGTTAATAATCTTTCTGATCTTAATACAAATGAAGAAGAAATTCATCCTTTCAATAATTCCATAACAACTGAAACTAATAATTATGATATCATATTTATTAAAAAATTATTTGAATTATTTATTAATATTTTTAAAACTCAGTCCCACGAAATGCGACCAATAACGATCAAAAATTATGTTAGAGAACATAATTTGAATTCAGTTAAAATTTTACATAATATGATTAGATATCCATCTCATCATTGGTTCACTAGCCTTATAGGATTTTTTTATCAATATGGTATTGGTACTGTTATTGATAACCAAATGGCATTTAAATTTTTTTATTTAGCTGCCAATAAAAGAATTTATATGAAGAATATCTCTTCAAATCTCTCGCTAAGGAAATTTTACGATATAAACAAAGAAATGGGAATTATCCATCTTGCGCATATGTATTTTGGTGGTGTAGGCATCGAAAAAGATTTGAAAAAAAGTTTTCAGATCTATTCTAAAGTTGCAGATAAAGGCTCTGACATGGCTTTAACTTGTGTAGCATATTGTTATGATAATGGTTTTGGTGTTGAAAAAAATGAAGAAAAGGCATTTGAATTATATTTGAAATCTGCAAAAAAAGGAAGTATCGTAGCATTATTTAATGTTAGTGAGTGTTATAAGGATGGAATAGGAATAGTAAAAGATGAATTTAAAGGGTTCCAATTGCTTTTAAAGTCTGCTCTTGCTGGAAATATTTCTGCAATAAATAATACCGGATATGATTATAACAATGGTATAGGTGTGGGTGTAGATAAAAAAGAAGCATTTAGATGGTATTTTAAAAGTGCTGAAAGAGGTAATCCTGTTTCACAAGTAAATTTAGGCATTTATTATGCGAATGGTTATGGAACTAATCAGGATCAAGTGAAAGCATTCGAATGGTATAAAAAATCTGCCGAAAATGAATATGCTGATGGGCAAAATATGGTTGGAGAACACTTTTATGAAGGGCGTGGAACTGGTAAAGATATTATAAAAGCTATCTACTGGTTAAATAAAGCAAATTTAAACGGGAATATATATGCCAATGGTTTATTAGGAGAAATAATTGATCGAATGATCGTTTTTTAGGTTATTATAATATTATATTGTATTAATATTTAGCCTGAAAAAAAGTGTAAAAAATTAATTCATAATATTGAAAGTTTAGAGTTTTTTCAATAATCCAGTTTCATATCTTAAGATCGTAAGAAACGCTTTTTGTAATTTTATTAATCAGTTTATTGAAGTTAAGATTTTTAAATGAATCAAATGGATATTATAAAACAGAATATGATTCTTTACGATAATTTATGAATTATTATTATTTATAGTATTTTTATTTTTTACGCGAAAAATTTTTTGAGAAAGAATTTATTCGTTTTAAATAAAGAATAGAGCTAATTTAATTTAATTGCTAATGATCTCTTTTTTTTGGACTTAATATAATTTTTCTGATAAATTAAATACGAGAATAAAATACCTTTTCTAAATTTTTATTAAATAGCAAATACAAATTGTTAAATTATTTGAATATATAAATAAAAATGCCATGTTTAGATAATGGGTACTTTAAATTCATCAGGACAAAATAGTAAAATACACTGAACTAAACTTGCATACACATTTTTTTTCAGCTTTCAGATTTCCTTTAAACGTAATGTATAGTCGAACCCAAGTTCGAATTCTTTAGATAAATTGAAATGTCACGTAATGGCACGCTCAGAATTTTCATTTACATAATTACTCCAAAAGGAAGTTTTCAATGAAAATATAAAACTATCTTCTGTCCTTTTTAATTGATTATTTTCGGTATTCCATTCAAGAGGATCGAATCCTCCAAGGATTCTCTAACACCTTCCACTCTTAAAATAATAACTGTGTTAAATATTTGATCACAAATATTAAAAATGTTTTTAACTTCAAAACCGTCTCGAGATCCTCTAACAAGTAATTTAAAGTCATATGGATTGTTTCCAATATATGCTGATTCCTTTTTATCAAGTCAAGGTGAAAGTTCCAAGGCATGTTTTACGGGTCGAGGAGATTGGCTTGTTAGGAGCCATGACTTTAGAATTGATGTCTAAAAAAAGTTGATGTCAAGAAGTTGTTAGTATGGATGAATCTTTCGAAGATATCTCCCCCAGGAATGCTAAATAAGACATCTAATGGAGGAAAGATTATCTCAATGTTTCCTTACTTTCTTCTAATTGAAGATCATTTCGCTTAAGGATAGATATTAATCACCTTCGGGAGAGGATAAAAGTTTTCAGAATCGAATGTGGTATTAGGATGTTTGGTAATGATATCATTGTAAAACTCTTGAAGAATCCCAAAGTTGTTGGCTCGATAACTTGTTTGGTAAACTTTAGCAAAATTTTATAAATAAGATGAGTTTGAAGATGATTTACCAATTCATCTGATTCAGTTCATTAGGAGCAATTAAGAGTTCAAACATAACACCATAAACGTATCTAAATTATGTAAAAAATATTATTATGAATTGATAAAATTGCACTTATTTGATAATGACATTGAATACTTTAACAGAAATTTTAGGAAGCTTTAATACCTTTACAAAATTGTCATTAAAAGTGATTTCTTTAAATTTCTTTTAAGTAAGGACTATGGAGATGCAAACTAATTGAATGAACTTTATAAATATTGAAGCATCCTAACCAATACCGCTTTCGAAAAACTGAATAAGATCATCTGATTAAAGCTCCCATAGGCTAAGCCCGGCCCGGTCTTATAGGGCCTGGACCAGATCTTAAAAATTTAAGCCTGGCTCAGGCCTGGCCTGAATTTAAAATTTAGCCTTAGTCGAGCCAGGCCTAGGCTCATTAGGCTTGGCCTGGCTCGAGCTCAACTCAGGCTTGAGAGCCCAACTCAGGCCTGTGAGCCCAACTCAGGCTTGCAAGCCCAACTCAGGCCTGTGAGCCCAACTCAGGCCTGTGAACTCAGCTTATTTATAAAGTTTAATTCAGACTTGTAGGTTTATAAGTTTGTACTTTTACTTCAGATTAATTCTACGTAATATGGAGTGACTTACTAAAATGATTCAAAAGTCACTCTTTTAGGCTTTATAATGGCAGTTAAATAATCCTTCTATCATCAATATTTGTCAAGTTATTATTGCCTAAAGACAATGAATTAATTTTTTACTTCAAATTGGTTTTACGCGACTGGAAGCGATTTTCTACTATGATATTCCTATGATAATTAGAAAGCTACTGTTTTGGGCTTTCTAAAGGTAGTAAAGTCATATTTTTAACATCGATATTCATCAAGTTATCATCGTCCGCAGGCAATTTTATTAAAATAGATATATAATTCTGGTATTTTAAGTATTTTAACAAATTGACTACGGACGATGATAACTATTTTTTGTAATGTTAATCATTTTATTGAATTAATTAATTAAATTATATTTTCATTGTAATATCTGTATTCAAAAAATTAACAAGTATTTATTTAATTTAACTTTTTTTATTTTTTCGCGATAACAAAAATCTCAAATTTTATAATTTTACAATTTTGTAGATTCGTCTAGAATTTATAAAATTTCTTTCAACGATACTAATTATAATAATTATGTACTGTGTGACTAATGTGACAAAATATTCTCTAATTAGAAATTAACCATTCAATTACTTCATCCCAAATCTCGAAATACAATAAATGACCTCTCTCTTTAGCAAAATGGGATTCACATCCTTCAATCTGTTCTGCAATGTATTGCCCCATAGCAGCAGTAGTTGTGTAATCTTTTTCTCCATACCATACTTTACATATTACCCCTTTTTTTCTTTCAACTTTATTGCTATTACGATCTTTATTACTTTTATTATTATTATCATCATCATCTCCTCCTTCTTCGTCATCTTCACCTTCTTTTACTTCGTTACATTTACCAATATCTTTTAATTTGAACCCCCAATCTTTTCCCCATAAAGAATATTCCCAACACACAGTTTCAACTTGTCCTCTTGAATAAACTTCTAATCCATCCGTAAGAAACATTTCTTCTACACCGGGATAGTTCTCATAAGTTTCTATATCACTTGGTAACCAATTACTTTCGCGACCTGTTTTGACAGGATCCCGTATGAACTGATTAGTTTCATATTTTGCAATCGCTGATAATACGCCATGAGCATTTTTGGCTAACCACCTTTTATTATGATAATTGACGATCGATAAATAAAAAAATTAATTTATTATTATTATTAGTATCAGAAATATTACGTAATATTACGCTTGTAACTTATAAAATAATTAAAAATTAAAATAAAAAGATAATAATAAAACATGTAAATATAATTATAATTACCATGCAAGTTTAAACTTAATTGGCATCGCACTAGTCAAATTAGGTCCGTCACGAGGCGCTACAGAACTAATAATTGCACTTTTCTTAATAATAGAATCGAATTCAATATCGCCTTTTCTATCTTTTCCCTCTTCCTTTTCCTTCTTTCTTTCTTTTTTGTTCATTTTATTTCCTTTGTCCCCTTCTTTACTCCCATTACCACCTTTACTCTCCCGATTTTCTTTATTTTTTCCTTTTTTATTCAATGGCGATGGAGGTTTACCCAATACATAAGATGCTGCCAATCCATATGGTCCACCAGCGGAATAAGAAATTAATGAACATTTTTTAATATTTTTTTGTTTGCAAAAACTTTTAATATCATCGGTAAAATCTAGGAAATTACGTTTAGCGAATGTTGACATTCCAAGACCGGGGCGTTCTAATACATATAAACGAATCGTCACAGTATTATTATTCGGATTATTATTATTATTAGAAATTGAATCTAAAACTTTAGGATGACAAAATAATCTTGAAGAAGGTGATCCGGGAATTAAAAGAATTATAAATTCTTTGGAATTTTCGGAATTTTCAATTTCCAATTCTTGATTGAACGGAATAGGATTTTGTAATACATGTTGATAATGATATTCTTTGTATCCCATTTTTCGACCATCACTTAAGGTTATAGTTTCGCCATCATCATCTTTAGGAAAATTACTTAACGTTAAATGTGGATATTCCGGAATTTTCGATTCTGAATTTTTGGAAGAAGTAATTCCCATTATTTTAAAATTTTTTTTAAAAAAAAAATAATAAATAATTCTGAATAATGTTTTCTAAACAATACAAGTTTAACAATCAAGTTTATGCATGCACTTACATTATTATTAGTTGGCATTATTTCTAAATATAGTATAGTCATAAATTCACGGATGTTACAGCATATCACAATTAACATTTATCTTTAATTATTAGAAAATATAAATAGGCATTTTTCTTTTGAAATACTTTGAATATTTTTTCTAAAAAAAAAAAATTATAACCTTCTAATATATCCTAATGATTTCAATATAATTATTCTAATAAAATAACCTTATTTAAGCAATGGCTCACTAAGATTATAAAATTAATCTTTCGTTATCGTGCCAATTCTTTTTTTTATTACAAAAACTTTCAATAATTATTTTAAATTCGATTTTTTCTCACATTTATTTTAATTTGATAAAGTAACTTATTTTTTCGGAGATATGAAAGAGTATCCAACACAATGATAATTCCGCCTTCTTTCCTTCTGTTCATAATCGAAAACAGGTCACGACACGAATATTTCAATCGTGCACCTTTTTTTTTGATTGTTTAAAAGGAAAAACGATCTTGGAAAATATAAAAGACAAGTTTTTAAATCTTTAAGAATTTGGTGGCGTGGCAGAGATCAATAAGGTTTCGCTATTCAATTATAAAGGGAGAGCATGTTTTAGAACGTTGTCTGATGTTAAAGGCTAAACGCTGACCCACAGGGCGCAAGAAATCAGATGTTACAAGAAAATCTGTTAATTAAGGATATTATTAATACCTCATTATTCTTTGAAAGGGTGACCGTTTTGACTACCAAACGGCAAAAAATGTGAGCATAAATTGGTAAAAATTTGTGTGGTTTCTTTATGAAATGAATTTTCTAGAAAATTAACAGCGCAATCTTTATTTTTCAATTTCCTTCCCAGTCATAAGATTACAAGAAATTAAATGAAATTCCTTTGTTTTACTAATATATATTGAAATTTGAATGATCAACATTCATAAATCAAAAGAATATAATTATATAATTTACCGTTGCACGGTTCTTGTGATAGAGTGTAATTCTTGATTCCGTTTTCTCTGACATCGGTCCGTTCTATCATTCTCAACGATTTTCTCGAAATTCTCAAATTTTTGTATCGTCAAGTGTCAAGTGACTTGAATAATCACTGTTTCATCAGGAAAATTTTTTAGCGTATATCTATAATTTCGTCCAGATAACTTGTCTTGAGAAAATTCAATACAAGTGCCTCTTCCATTATATAAAATATTAATAAATATTAAAAATAAATAATTTTTCTGTAAACAGATTTTGCGACCTTTATAAATTGTTTCTATAAAAATATATCCCCACTTTAAAATAATATCTGTTTCATAAAACGTGGAACAGCTGATCCTGAAATTCTTGAAATAAAATTGTAATTTAAGATTAGAAAATTTTTTAAGGTGTCTTACAAAAAAAGATATATTTAGTGACACTTTCAAATTAGTTAATAGATAATTAGAGTAAAAAATAAAATCTTATGTCAAAGTATTCTTATCATTATATATATTAATTTATCTGGAATGGCCAGCTATTTTCATGCTTAGAATGAATATATCAAATAGCAATACGGGTACAATTGTTATTTCAAGAAATAGGCATACTATAGCTAAGAATTTCTGACATATTATGCCAGATTGGATTTATACCCAAAATCGAGTTTGATAGATTCCTACAGTTGTGTAAAATGATGACTACACAATTGATCGAAAACTTATTGGAATTGAATGGACTAAGTGTAGGGTCACGAGAGCTCCCTTTGAAGGAGGAAATGTCTGTGGTGAAGTAATTTCATGAGCATGCGAATTATACTAAGATGATTGTACAATGATAATAACTTGTGTTGTCATCCAAAAGATAATGTACAAGGATGAAGGATGAAGTACAAAGGATGACGGGTAAAATTTGAATGAAGGTGAAAAAGTATAAAAGAAGTAGTAGTTTTTTGTAGTCTTGAGAGAGTCTTAGTAGTTTCTTAGACTTCAATTAATTAATAGTTACAGATAGTTTCAAACATTATTAACATTAGATAGAAAAGTAAACTTCCTTTAGGAACAGTGAAATAGATATGTGACCCGTGGTATTTCTGTTGTTAAATGATACTTTACTTTTAAATTTGTACCCTTTATATTTTAATAAACTTATCTTTTGTGTCATGAGATTGTGAAATATTGTTAAATATTATTTGATACTGTGTTAACACTTTTACTCCGCCTTACACACTGAGCGTTCAGATTAAAAATAAAGAATTAAAAAGAATTAAAAAGAATTATATTATATTTATTAACTGTTTCGAGATAGGCAAGTTTAAATCAATGGATTGCTTGACCGATAGGCAAAAGTGTTTGAAATACTCTACACATTTGTGAATATGTACACATTTATTTTTTTTTGGTGGATAATACGCGATTAATGTTATACAATATAATATTCATTATTTGTTTTTATAAAATATGATAATTAAAATTTCCAATATGTATATTTATTACCAAATAGAAATTATATCTTCCTTTTTAAATTAAAATCAATAGTACTATAATTAGAATAAACTTGATTAATCTGGGAATCTCAATTGAAAAGAATATTCATGCATTCATTTTTGTTTTGGTCAGATTAATTATACAAAAATGGCATAGTGTTTCACTTAACATTCCATATAAGAATTCGATTAGAAACCAATTTTATTTTTTTTTTTACAAAGAAAATGTCTTTTAAGTTTTTTGACAAATTATCACAAAATTTTATTGAACTTCTTAACGATAAAGATGATTACAATGTGATCATCGAAGTTGAGAATGAACAATCTTTTATAGCGCACTCTAATGTGTTGAAGTGTCGCTCACCTTATTTTCGTAAAGAGTTAGAAAATATTATCCCAAATGAAAACGGTATTAAGACAATTACTAAACCAAATATTTCTGGTGTATTTATTGATATTATTCTTAAGTAAGTTATTCTTTATTGTAAAATGCTATTATTAATCATGATAATGAGTTACATTAATAAATAATCAATATTTATTTTATAAGATATATTTATGGCGGAATTATTAATTTTGAGAATGTTGAAACAAGATTTATTTTTGATTTAATGATGACAGCTAATGAATTTGAAATCGAAGAATTATCCAAAAAAACTAGAAAATTTTCTGATTGAAGCTAAAAGTTCTTGGTTAAAGTCTCATTTTTCTTTAGTTTATCGCTCAATTTTTAACGGAAATGACTACAAAAATTTAGAAAAATTTTGCAATGATATCGTTGCAAAGTATCCAAATCTCATTTTCGATGCTAAAGATTTTGTTTCTCTTAAAGAATCTGCATTGGCTTCTCTCCTCAAACGAGATGATTTACAACTAGAAGAAGCAATAATTTGGGAATATATTATAAAATGTGGAATTGCTCAGAATTCCTCTTTACCTGTAGATCTTAAAGAATGGACCAATGAAAACTTTGCAACTTTAAAAACTATTCTTCAGCAATGCCTGCCTCTAATCCGATATTTTCATATTCCTGGTCCTTATATTTTGAAAAAAATAAAGCCTTATAAGAAAATTCTTGACAAACAACTTTGGAAAGATTTGAATAAGTATTTCATGGCCCCCGATGAACCAGTGGAATCAATTATTTTACCACCAAGAACAAAAATTGTTCAAAACTTACCTACTCGTACAACAATATCACCTCTTGAAATGACTGAAAATCGATGGGTTCCCTTTTCAGTGAGAAATCAACATATCAAATCAACAGGTGACATTACACCGATGGAAACAGTACAACGTAAAGTTAAAGCTTTATTAAATAAATTGACATTAGAGAATTCCGATAGTATATTGGATCAAATTATTGGTTTTGCCAATGAATCCAGAGATGAAAGAGAGGGGCGAATATTAAAAGAGGTTATTCGTCTTACATTCGAGAAATCATGTAATGAACCAAATTTCAGTCAAATATATGCACAACTTTGTCGTAAAATGATGGATAGGATAGACGTTGAGATAATAGACGAAAACGTTAAAAAAGCGGATAGTAAATTTATTCAGGGTGGTACATTGGTTAGAAAATATTTGTTAAATAGATGTCAGGAATATTTTGAAAAAGGTTGGAAAGTTAGAGTTCCTTTATCATCTAATGAAAAAGGCGAGCCTGATCTTATGTCCGTCGAATACTATACAGCGGCAAAAGCAAAAAGGAATTGGCTCGGTCTGATACGCTTTTTAGGTGAATTATTTAAATTAAATATGCTTACACGGCGTATTATGCATGAATGTATAAAAAAATTGTTGACAGTATCTGATAATCCTGAAACCCCTGAAGAGGAAGAAATGGAAAGTTTATGTATATTATTAACTACTGTTGGGCAACAACTTGACCATGGGAAAGCAAAAATACATATGGATACATACTTTAGTCGAATTGAAGATATCTCGAGAAACCCAAAAATAAGTAGTCGTATAAGATCTATGCTACAGGAAAGTCATTTACTGTATATTATATTCAAACAGCCGTGTTTCTCATCATTCATTTTTTTTTATTACAGGATGCAATTGAATTACGAAATAGTAATTGGATACTGAGACGTAATAATAATTCTCCACCGAATGGTGGGCAAGCACTCTCTGATGGTTGGAGCACAGTTAGTGGTTCATTATCACGGAAAGCTGGCGATCTATCTAAATTTGGCGAATTTCGCTTAGTAAAGTCTCCTGGTGGAGGTGGATTGACGGGATGGAAAACTGATTTTCTCGTTGAAAAATGGCAATAAATTCTTAGCCGAATAAAAATTCGCGATCATGCAATTCTAAATTTCAAGAATAGTGCGTAAGTAATTGAGTCCATATTCAGTTTTTATATGTGTAGTTATCATTCTATTTTTACTTTAGATAATGACATTTGAGCATCAAGAATACATATCAGGAAACTTTATAAAGCATAATAATACGTAGATATACGCCTAAAAAAAATTTCCTTATACAGAACAATGGTTATTATGAAAAATAGCTGAACATAATATTTCTCAATTGTTGATTACGAAATATTTAAGGCTATTAAGAAAACTAATTATTAATGAGGAAAATAATTAATGTCTTTTCTTTATATTTAATTGATTTTTTTTTCAATGAGTTATGATATTAGATGGTTTATCAATAAATAAATGTATTAACTGATCAAAAATAGTTTATACTCCTCTTCTTGAAATTTGTGAATAAATAATAACTTCACCTTGTCTTTTTTTAATCAACGACGACAATAAAAAAAAAAGCGTCATCAATTTATTTTATTTAAATTAGATCAAGCCGAATGATCCAGATTGTGAAATCATACGATCAAAAAATAAATTTGCTTTGGTATTAATCATATAAATTTAAATATTATAACTTCTTAACTGATCAATGGGAATTTTTTGATAATATATTCTTACTTCAATTAATTCAAAAACAAAAGACGAAAGTAATAAATCAATAAATTGAAAATACCTTACTTGGAGGATATTATTTATTTGCCAGCAAGTTATAGGATCATGAATATAAATTACAAGTTGAAAAGAATAATCATTATGATGAAGATAATGAAAAAAATAATTCTTAATGGCGATAATCATGTCGCATTGTTTTAATACACCATCACGAAGCGATTTACACTTCCAGAAGAAACAGAAGAAGAAAATGAGAATAGGGAGAGGAAGAAATGAAAAGTTATGGATCTACTTAAAGTAGAAATCCATGAAGATATTTGTGCATCACGTTGCGTTTGGGTTTAGATGATTCCTAAAAAGAACTGGTGATGGAAAATCATTGTTTAATATAATAGAAGGTACGTAGAAATTTCGTGATATTTTTAACCGATTCACATCAATGAATTCGGTGGTATTTATACTGAAAATTTTTTTGTAGAAAAGAATAATGATGATTATGATGATGGAAATAATAAAAGCTCGGTAATTTCACGGGAAGCGTTATTGGAGATATAAAGAATATCAAGAGAGGCTTTAAGAAAATCTTTGAATCAATATTCCGAGTCGGAAGCTTATAAATCAAGACATTATGTTAAAGTTTTTGATATCAAAACGTCAAATTTTGGGCATGATCTTCTTATGTATATAGTTCGTGGTTATCCATTAGAACTATTTCTTAATTGTTGATTATGAAGTATTTATGGTTATTAAGAAAACTAGTTAGAAATTTAATCCTTAGAGAATTATTAAAAATATTTAGATTATGAATCTTATCGAGTACCATATGTATTACCAATATAAATAATATTTTCCTTTTTAAATTTTAATTAGCGTAAACTTGATTTATCTGGAATTTTAATAGCTAATGCTTGAAAAGATATAGGTAAAATATACTCAAAGCATTCATTTTTTTGGTTACATTAATTATATAAAAATGGCGTAATGTTTTATTTAGAACATTCCATAAAAGAATTCGATTCGAACCAATTTTATACTCGACGTTTTATACCCATTTTTACAAAGAAAATGTCTTTTAAGTTTTTTGACAGATTATCTCAAAATTTTATTGAACTTTTAATGTAATCATTGAAGTTGAAAATGAACAATCTTTTATAACGCACTCTAATGTGATGAAGCGTCGTTCGCCTCATTTTCGTAAAGAGTTAGAAAATATTATCCCGAATAAACCTATATAGAGAAAATTACTTGACCAAATATTTCTGGTGTAATTTTTTATATTATTCTTAAGTTAGTTATTCCAATGTTTGAAATTCAATGTGCGGCAAAATTTGAAACTTCGTACATAAAAAAAAAAGGCTTCCGCACAAATTTTGCATATAGAATTCTAAATTGTGTATGTTCCGCACAGCAAAGGATTTAAATTTTGAATTTCAAACACTTAGTTATTCTTTATAGTAAAATTCTTTTATTAACGGATAGGTTTTCATCTTTTGTACTACCGGTAGTAATTTTATAAATACACTGAACGTTTAAAAGCCAATAAATTTGCTCAATGTTATATACAAAGATGTCTCATATGTTCCTAATATTAATATTATATTTATTATGATTGAAATTTTAAGTCACGGCATTTTTACAAAAACAGGTGTAGTACACTATTAAAGTTCCTCATGTGAATTGCTGCGGAAAGATAAATTGTTATGTTATGTATTACAGATTTGATTGATCGACGTTACATATGTACTATTTTGAGTTAGTTCCACTGATTAACTTTAGCTTCACATGAAATTCTCTATATAAAATATGTTATGTAACAGGTGGTAAGTAACACACTACTTATAGTAAAGTCAGGTGTCTTCTTCAATTGGTAAATATGCGAGTACATTGTACTACCAGTAGCACAGTGAAATTCTAATTTATTTTTTATTTTATTTTTTGCTCAATTGACTTTTATAATTTTGATATTTGAAAATGGCCACTAAATTTTTTGACCGTTTATCAGACGACCTTATTCGACTTTTCGAAAATGGTATTAATTATGATGCTTCAATTGAAGTTGGTGAAGATACCAATATTTATAAGGTTCACTCAATGGTTTTGCAACTCCGTAGTCCTTACTTTAAAAAGAAATTCAACGAAATTACTTTAAATAGTGATTTTGTAAAGGTATTAAAGCTACCCAAAATTTCTGATAAAGTATTCAATATCATTATCAAGCAAGTGTAATTTTATCAATTCATCAAATTTTTTTTTTTTGAAAAAAATTAAATTCAAATCTTTATAGGCGTAACAATAATAGTTTTTATTTAATTTAGATACGTTTATGGTGGATTAATTTCATTAGAAAAATTAGAAAATTCTGTTATTTATGAACTCTTAATTGCATCTAATGAACTTGAATTAGATGAATTAGTAAATCATCTTCAAAATCATCTTGTTTATAATAATGCTCCTTGGTTGAGACTAAATTTTGCTAAAATTTACCAAACAAGTTATCAAGTCAATAACTTTGGGATTCTTCATGAATTTTGCAATGATATCATTGCCAAATATCCTAAAACCATTTTCGATTCCGAAAATTTTTATTCTCTCCCCGAAGATGCATTGATATCTGTCCTTAAGCGAGATGATCTTCAATTAGAGGAAATTAAAATTTGGGAATACATAATTCGATGGGGGAAAGCAAAAAATCCTAATTTACCTACAAATCTCGAAGAATGGATACGCGATAATTTCTTAACCTTGAAGGAAACTTTGAGTCAATGTCTTCCATACGTTAGATATTTTAACATTCCTGGGAACGATGTGGTCGAAAAGATTTATCCATACCAACAAATTCTTGAAAATCAACTTTTTTTAGACATCAATTCTAAAATCATAGCCCCCGATAGAATAATTACTACTTCACTTGTATTACCACCTCGAAACGTCTCAATTTCAAAGCTTCCAACTAGAAGATATGCTCCGGTTCCCCTTTCTTCTAATATTATCGCCAATATGCATGCCTTGGAAATTTCATCTTGGATTGATAAAAAGGAATCAACATATATTGAAAACAATCCATATGACTTTAAATTACTTGTTAGAGGATCTCGAGACGGCTTTGAAGTTAAAACTATTTTTAATCTTTGTGATCAAATATCTAACACAGTTATTGTTTTAAGAGTGGAAGGTACTAGAGAGATCCTTGGAGGATTCAATCCTCTTGAATGGAATGCCGAAAATAATCAACCAAAAAGGACAGAAGATAGTTTTATATTTTCATTGAAAACTCACATTTTGGATTATTCTGTTTTAAGTAGAGTAAATGAAAATTCTGAGCGGGCCATTTGTATGTATCCAAGGAATTCGAAGTTTGGTTTTGATCATGCTTTATGTTTAAGAGGCAATCTGAAAACTGAAAAAAAATGTGTATGTAAAATTAGTTCATTATATCCTCAACAAATTCGTCCTCAAGCATTTATAGTACCTAGACATACCACTCCTTTGGATAAATGTAAATTTTCAGTTGAAGAATATGAGATTTTTGAAATTTTGCCAAATTTTACGTAAAAATTTGTAATAATAAGCATCAAGATATTTTTAAATTTTTTATTATTGTTATCTAAACATGGATGAACAGGAATTTTTATTTATCTATTCAAACAATTTTCAATTTGTATTTATTATTTAACAAAAATTTTAGAAAAGGTATTTTATGCTCGAGTTTATCAGAAATATTATATCAAGTCTATTAAATTAAATTAAAATAATTCTCTATTTCACGATCGAATAATCTATAATAAAGAAAGAATGAATTTCTTTCTCTAAAGAAATTTTTTTTCTAAAAAAATTTACGTATAAAAAAAAAAACTTTGAAATTCATATTTATATTAAGATAAAATTAAATGCTCAAAAAAGCCTTTCTTATGATCTTAAGATATGAAACTAAATTATTGGGAAAGTACTAAACTTTCTATTATAAATTCAGGCAATTTAATTTTTTACACTTTTTTTTATTCAGGCTAAACGTTTAATATAGTATAATGTTATAATAATCTAAAAAACAGGAAATTCGATTAATTACTTCTAATAATAATCTATTGACATTTATATTCTCGCTTTCCTTTGCTTTATTTAACCAGTATATGATTTTTATAATAAATTTCTTAGTTCCACGCCCTTCACAAAAGTGTTTTCCAACCATGTATTTGCCATTTACATCTTTATTTTCAGCTGATTTTTTAAGCCATTCAAATACTTTCACTTAATTCCATAACGATTTGCATAATGATGTCCTAAATTATGTTGTGAAACAGGATTATCTCTTTCAGCTAAACGTTTCTTTTTTTATATACACCCATACCTATATCAGTTTCAACCAAAATTCATTAGCAAGATTGTGAAATATTTTCCACAGGAGCCTTTAACTTCATTTTTAAATACAAAACTCACTAATAATGAAATGTTCTGTAAGATTTCCTTTTCAGCAGAGTGCAAATATAGTTCAATGTCTTTTCTTAATTTTTTTTCAACACCAAGCCGTTAGAATAATAACATGCCGTAAAATTTAAAGCTATATTGAACTTTTCATCTGCAACTTTAGAATAGATCTGAACAACTTTTTCGGATCTATTTCACCACCTACCTATACCAAAGCAGTAAATACTTGCAAGATTGGTAATTCATATTTCTTTGTTAATGTGACAAAATTTCCTTATTGAGAGATTTGAGAAGTTTTCTTCATATTAATTCTCTCATTGGCAGCTAATCTAATGAATTTAAATGCCATTTGTTATAAATGAATGTCATAATTATTAGTTTTAGTTGGTATGCATCAGGAAAAAATTAATATTACGGAACTTATGATCCGTGTGAAATTATACATATATATTATTAAATTGAATTCTTCATTTAATTTTTCTGAATTATTTGCTACATTGATAATAGAAATAAATACTGATTTCAGAAAGATCAATAACGACTTCAAAGAATTCTGGTCGGGAACTTTCATGATGTTTCAAACAATCTATTCAAATGTATTCGTTTTATTCGTTTTTGAAATCCAATGTGCGGAATGTGCGCTAAGCTAGCACAAATTTTGAAAGCTCCGCACATAAAAAAGTCATCCGCACAAATTTTTGCCTATAGAAAGCTAAATTTTGTAAATTTTGTAAATTCCGCACAGGATTTAAAATTTGAATTTCAAACACTCTGAATGTATCCAATTTACATTAACTATTAATATTATTTACTATGCAAATAATCTAAATAATTTAAATAATATGTAAATTAATGCCAGTATAAATTTCCTTGTATTTAAAAGGAATTCCAGGTATACTCTTTTTTCTTTTAGTTTTACAATAGTATCATTTATCAAATAATGGTTGTTAATGTTGAAGATGATAATGATAATTTTATTGTAAAAATATCATCATTAGAAATCTCTGAGGGATATTTCCCAGACTGTAAATATCTAAACTTTTATTAAATATCTAAAATCAGCATATTTAATATGTATAATAATAACAGTAGTATTTAAGAATCTTAAATAGTTTATGCTAAGATCCTTTAATTTAATCATCCCATTATTCACGAGAATACCCTCAGAAGTCTAATTTGAACGTTAAAAAGGTATAAAATTCTTATGAAATAATTTAAATCAGAAATTAATTTATTCGTAAAAATTAATTATCTAAACAAATAATTACCAATTTTCTATAAACAATTGTCCGAAGCATAGCGGAGGACTCTTAGTTTTTACAACAGGGATACTTTAATACGTGATTCAATGTGTGCGTGCTTAAAGTAAACGAAAAAAAATACACAAAATAATGAAATAAAAATAAATTAAAATTAAATTAAATTAAATTAAATTAAATAATTGTTTATTTATTTAACTTTTGACTCTTAAACTTTTCCCTAAATCCTTTCTTTCTATTGTTTTTAAAAATACGCCGATCTTAATAACCATTTCCAAAGCTATAACATCAACACTAATTGCCTCGAAGCATAGCAAAGGACATTTTTAACATAAAATATTGTACCTTTCAAATTTTCTCCAGACACATTTAACACTGAAAACAATTTGAAAAGTTAAAGGATTATATGGCGAATATTTGTGTTTTTCTTTAATGTAATTTAATGTAATTAATCATATAGTAAGGAATGTTGTATTATATAGTAGAGAATGTTTGTATTAATGTAAAAATCATTTAATCACTGTATCATAGTTTTATATCATAATTAAATTCTATTCTTTGTTGACATTCAATTGTTTTTAACATTGGCTTTTGTTTTTCAAAAATGTTTGTTTCTCTTTCTATAATTGCACACGCACGATCACTTTGACTTGTCAAATGTGCCAATATAATATCTGCATAAAATAGTTGATCTGCAAATTATCTGATATCCAAATATAATCAATCCTACTTTTTATTTGTCCATTGCTATTTTCCCATGTGAAGTTTAATTCTTTATTATTTTTGTAATTCTGTATTTTTTATAGCTTCTTTATATATTCTAAATGTGTCATGTCAATGAACTTACTATTATTTAAATATCTTGAAATTGAACTTTCTGGTTTAGTTGATCTATTATTTTTACTGATATTTGTATTATATCTATCAATTTTTGGGTTGACTGTTGCATTAAAATCTCCCATTAGTATTGTGTAATGTTTGTCATTATTGGCAAACTGTCCAATTTCATTCATTATCCATTTGGTCACATGAGTTCTTTCTTTTCCTGTTCTGAATTTGATGGATAATGAATAACTATAATTTTTACTTTTATTTTCTTTTTAAATGCCAAACTTATGCTTAAAATATTTCCCTCATAATTTTTGGCTCTATGAATATGTTTTGCCATTTTTTTTTAATCATAATTCCTACTCCTGAACCATTTGTTTGTTTTCCATTGGTTCAAATATATGTATATTCGTTTTGAACATTTTTTGTTTCATTGATTAAATTATTTTTAGAATTTGTTCACTTTCTATTATTTTAGTAGCATTATTATTTATTTTATTATGATTCTTCATCATATTAAAATTATTTGTTCATTTAATAAGAAATACTTCCCATACTTTCCTGTTGTTTAGATAGATTAGACATATTTTCCATTCTCTCTAATCTTTTTGTATCTCAACATTAGATTGTTTTAACTCTGGTATTAAATTTGCTAACATTTTAACAGTATCTCTATTTGTTTTACTTGTTTTTCTTTTGTTCTTATATTTTCAGTAGTTGCATTAGACACTTCCTTCACAGTATTATCTAAATCTTCATCTTCCTCCATTATTTCATCAAAAGCTTCTTTTCCCACATATTCTTCCAGGGTTTGGACTCTCTCTTCCATGTTATTATTATATTGCTTAATATCTAATATATCTTGTTTTATGTTTTAAAGTGTTTTCAATATGGTTTTCAAAATGTTTTCTTGGTTACTGTCCCCTTCATTATTTCCTTTATCCCTGCTTACATTTCTTTTAACAGCATCAGAGTATCCTGTGACTAGATCTATATGATCCTTTAAATTTTTGTATAATCTTGGTCTATAAATTTTGTGCATGCGACCACATTTCTCAAAATCATTTTTTTTTCTTTCATTTATTTCTTGCTGCAACTGGACATTTGAATGCCAAATGATCTTTTGTATGACATAAATAGCATGTTTTTGTTGCCGTATCTACTATTTTAATCTATAAATCACCAGCTTCCCAGACTTGTCCTATGATTGTTGCTTTTCCTTCTGCAATTGCCATGCTTTTCTTTTCTCCATATAAATTTCTTGGAAAATAACAAGTTTTTGCTCCCATTTGTGCTACAATTATATATAATTCATGTGATGGCATATCATTTGGCAAATTAATTATTTTAACTGCATGTTCTCCCCTTTTTTTTTAATTCTGTAAATGTCATGCTAGGGATTGACACTCATGATTCTTCTCCTACTATCTGGAACCATTCTGCCAAAATCTAACCTGCAATAGCACAATCTTCAAAATGTGCAATTGCTGATGACCACATGCCTCTTGTAGACATTGTACATGTTACTATGACTCTAACTAAATTGAATGTTTCATTTTCTTTGTTTCCCTCAATCTCAATTTTACATGCTTTTTCAATATCCTCCTTTTTTTCAAAATAAACTCCAATGTATAATTCCTGGTCTTCATTGTTCTTTTCAGTTCTAATAGTTATGATATTTTTATCTAATTTTTTAGTAATATTTTGGATTTTCTCCCCAATATTTTTTTCTTGATTGTTGATTTTTTAATCCAAGCTTTATACTTCTTCATTTCCACTTGCTTTAACCATGCTTCATGTTCACTCAGAAAGCTATTTACTGTTGCCACTGACTTTTTATCACTTGTTGTTTCTTCTTCATCTGTTTTTCCATCATTAGTTTTTTCTCTACTTTTTCCTTTATTAATTTTAATTGTGTTTTCTTTATTGTTTTCTTTGTCTAATAAAGCTTCAGTTTCCATATTTGCATTTGCTTCTTGACTTTGTTCATTGCTATAATTATTCATTATTGTATTTTTATTGTTGTTATATGATGTTCCTACTCCAGGGTTTAAATAATTGTAGCCTGATTGAACTAAATTTTTTAAGCTTAAAGAACTGCAGCTGCTCCTCCACGTTTTTCAACTTTTCCACTGGCTTTTCCAATGTTAACTACTTCTTTCTTTTTAGATCCATAATTTGTTGTGCTCCATCTGGGACATATATTTTGTTCGACCAAATTATCGTTCAGGTTTACTATTGTTTTCACTGACTAGGATGACTCAAAAGAATTTCTCTCTTCCTTGAAAATTTCTGTAAAAATGATTACCAGAAAGAGTTCTCCAATAATTCTCCTAAACTGTAAATATCTATACTTTTATTAAATAATTCTAAATATCTAAAACCAGTATATTGAATAGGGATAGTAATGTTTTAGTAAGGGATTTTAAATAGTTTATGCCAAAATCATTTAATTTAATAGTCCCATTATGAACAAGAATACTTTCGGAAGTCTAATTTGAACATCAAAAAAAAATGGTAAATTCTTATTGATAATTCAAGTCATAAATAATTAAATAGTAATTATACAAAAAATTACCAAGTTTCTATGAATAATATTATTATAATGTAAATTCATTAAAGCATTTGCAATTTGTTTTGCCAAATTTAATTTTATATTCCAATAAATTTATGGAAATTTGTTTTCAAATATTGACGAAGAGAACCATTATTAGTATATTCGAGAACAACCATATAATTGTTGCTATTCTCTGTATTAATAAATAATAATAAATAAATTAAAATAAATCAAAATAAATTAATTTAAATAAATTAAAGATAAATAATAAATAAATTAAAAATAAATAATAAATAAATTATAAAGTACTATATAAAAGATAATTATTTTTACATACTCCCGTTTTCTTTTGCTTCATATAACCAGTATATAGCTTTTATAATATCTTTCCGATTTTCCGCGTCCTTCATAAAGTGTCTTACAATAGCATATTGTCTTTGATATTATCATTTTGGCAGCTTTTTTGTATCATTTAAACGCTTTCACTTTATCCTGACTAATCCCATAACCATTAGAATAACAGCGTCCTAAATTTTGATGCGTCGTAGGATCTCCTTTTTCAGCATCATCCAAATGCTTCTTTTTTGATCTACACTCACACTATACCATTATCATAAAAATATCAGGTATTATTTATCGTATTTATATTTCTAGCAAGAGTAGATTTTAAATGCAATTGGACCCTTTAACTTCATATTTGTTATCCTTGTTCCATCTATATAACACTCACTAACATTAAATTGTGCAACAATATTTTTTTTTATTTTTTTTAGCAGATTTCAAGAATAAATCAAATGCCTTTTCTTCATTTTTTTCAATATCAGGCCTCTTATCATAGTTATATGCAATAGAATTCACGACTATTTTGGACCCTTCATCTGCTGCTTTAGAATAGATCTGAAAATCTTTTTCAAATCTATTTCGATGCCTCAACCATAGAGTTCCAATTTCTTTGTTCGTGAATTTCCCTTAGTGAGAGTTTTGTGGAGATATATTCTTTTCATAGACAGCTAATTAAAGAATTTAAATGCCATTTGGTTGTCAATAACAGTCCTAATACCGTATTAGGGAAAAAATCCTATGAGGCTATTGAATCAAGAATGAGATGGATATCCAATTATTTTATGTAAAATTTTAACTGGCTTAAACTATGTTCGACGACATAATTTTTAATCGTATTTGGTTGCATTTCTTTCGGATGATTTTTGTAAATAATAATGAAAAATTCGAATATGTTTTTTTAAAAAAATAAACTATAACATTATAATTATTAGTTATGGAATTAATGGAAGGATGGTTAAATTTATTTCTGCATAGATATCAGAAATAACAATGACTTCAGAAAGATCATTAACATTAATAACTCAAAGATGTCTGGAAAGGAATTATTCCCTGATTTTGGGCTGCAAGATGACACGTATTTTGTCCTTTTAGCACTTATATCTACCGATATATTACGGTTTAAAGTCAAAACGGCCCGTATTTATTCCGTAACATTACGTAGGTACCGCAACAATCATGTAAATATACGCCTAAAAAAATTTCCTTAAGAAGTTGCAGCGAATTTTCGCCCAGAGTCGTTTTGCAAGTAAAATCTACATCTTCCCAACGCACTTCAATTTATGCCAAATACAAGGTTTAGTCTGATTACAAATAAAAAGTAGATTCAGAAGCTGGACATTTGAACAAATAAAGAAGTATGTTCGAAGTAATGGAAGGTATAGAACTAATAGCATACGCTTTTCACCTTTTTATAGTTCTCTCCGAGTATTTTAGATAAATATCTATAAATAAAATAAATTTGTTGGGAATTTGATGAATTTTTTTCATCTAATCCAAAAATTTCCAAAAATTTGATATTTTACTTTATGAAAAAAGATTATACGGAAAATTAGAAAAATTAATAATTCTATAAAATACTTGATTTCAACAATTGGATTTTTATTAGGGAGGAGTTCACTTTTCATATTTGTAAGTTTTAATATTAGATCGTTTTTGCTGCAAAGGGGATAAAAGAATTATTAATAAATTCTATTAAATTAAGACTTTATATACAAAGCTCCAATACTTTCTATATTTACATTTTGTAATTTTCAAGAAAATTCTTTTTTTAAATTTATCGTCAAGAAAAAATATTATCTAATATTTTATTAATATAAATAAATCAATACAGTATAATGTTATGATATTATAATGACCTAAAAAAAGATTATTCGATCAATTATTTCTTCTAATAATCTAAGAGCATCCATATTTCCATTTTCCTTTGCTTTATCTAGCCAATATATAGCTTTTATAATATCTTCCCTAGTTCCAAGTCCATCATAAAAGTATTCTCCAACCATATATTGCCATCAGCATATTCATTTTCAGCAGACTTTTTATACCATTCAAATGCTTTCGCTTGATCCTAGTCAATTCCTTCACCATTTTTATAACAATATCCTAAATTTTGTTGTGCTCTGGGATATCCTTTTTTAGCGCCTTTAAAATACCATTCAACTGCTTCTTTTTTATCTACTCCTACACCTATACCATTGTTATAATAATACCCGGTATTATTCATTGCATTTATATTACCAGCAAGAGCGGATCTTAAAAATAATTGGAACCCTTTCATTTCATTTTTTGCTATTCCTTTTCCTAAAATATAACAATTACCAAGATTGAATTGTGCTAGAATATTTCCTTTTTCAGCTGATTTCAAATATAGTTTAAATAACTTTTCATCATTTTTTTCAATACCAAGCCCACTATCATAACTGTAAGCGATAGAATTTAAAGCTATATTGGACCCTTCATCGGCAGCTTTAGAATAGATCTGAAAACCTTTTTTTAAATCTTTTTCAACACCTCTACCATAGAAATATATATGTGCAAGATGGATAATTCCAATTTCTTGGTTAATTTTGTAAAATTTCCTTAGTGAGAGATTTGAAGAGATATTATTTTTATAAATTCTTTCATTGACGGCTAAACTAAAGAATTTAAATGCCAATTGGTTATCAATAACAGTCCCAATACCATATTGGTAAAAAAATCCTATGAGGCTAGTGAACCAATAATGAGATGGATATCTAATCATTTTATGTAAAATTTTAACCGGATTCAAATTATTCTCTCTGATATAATTTTTGATCCCAATTGGTTGAATTCTTAGGGACTGAGTTTTAAAAATATTAATAAAAAATTCAAATAATTTTTTAATAAATATGATATTATAATCATTAGTTTTAGTTGTTATGGAATTAATGAAAGGAGCTTCTACGTTTGATTTTTCAAATTTATTTTTTGAATTGAGTTCAGTAATAATATTGATTTTAGAAAGATCGTTAACAACTTCAAAGATGTCTGGTCGGGAATTTCCAAGGTGTTTCAAGCAATCTATTCAAATGTATCAAACTGTTAACAATAATTACTATGCAAATAATTTAAATAATTCAAATAATATGTAATTTATACCGGTATAAATTTCCTTGTATTTCGGAGAAATTCCTGGTATACTATTTTCTCTTTTTAGTTTTTCAATAGTATAATTTATCAAATCAATAATATTATTATTTATTGGCGATGGTAATGATAATTTTGTCATTAAATCATCTCCAAAAGGAGAAATACCATCATTAGAAATTTCCCAAAGAATGATTCCTAAACTATAAATATCTAAACTTTTATTAAATAATTCTAAATATCGAAAATCTGTATATTGAATAGGGATAGTAACGTTAGCAGTAAGGGATCTTAAATAGTTTATTCCAAAGTCATTTAATTTAATAGTCCCATTATGAACAAGAATACTTTCAGAAGTCTAATTTGAACGTCAAAAAAATATTAAATTATTATAAAATAATAAATTAGTACTCATAAATAGTAATTATACAAAAAATTACCAAGTTTCTATGAATAATATTATTATCATGTAAATTCATTAAAGCATTTGCAATTTGTTTTGCGAAATTTAATTTTATATTCCAATCGAATTTTTGGAAATTTGTTTTCAAATATTGACGAAGAGAACCATTATTCGCATATTCGAGAACAATCATATAATTGTTGGTATTCTCTATAATAATAAATAATTAAAATAAATTTAGAAATAATTATAAACGTTATAAAGCCAAATATTTATTTATGTGTACCTTGTTTAGTAATGCCATAAAACTTAAGAATGCTATCTTTAATTTCCAATTTTCGATGTCTTTTCACCTAAATAAATAAATAAATAATAAAATAAATAATAAGTAATAAATATACTAAAAATCACAATAATTTATTTTGTAGTATTTTTAAAAGTTAACTCACTTCATTTATAAAATTATTCAAAGAAATATTCTTAAGAGCTACTTCTTCGACTGTGGTTTTTTCTTGCTGATAAACTATTTTTTTAATATGAGCCTTATAAACATTTTTAACATTTTCACTAATTGATTTTACATTTTCAAATTTCAAATATGAATAAAATGGAACATCTTCATAATATTCTGTACTAGCTTTAGAATTATTATTAATAATAGCAGTAGTATTATTTGTTTTTCTTTTTTTTCTTCGTTGAGACATTGATTATTATATATTGGGATAAACATATAGTGTATTACACTGCATATAAGTCATATTATTTCGCTGATCACTCGTTTTTAGTCGTAAAGTACCACGATTGTGCGACCTTATATTTACAATAATTCAATTAGTAATTCATTCAATAAATCGCAAATTCATAAAGAAATAACAATCGATATATTGATGTTAATGGGAAGATTTATAAATTCTTTTATTTTAATTGATTTGTTTAATTAAAAGAACTCTTCCCATCGATCACTTGTACCAAATATTCCCACAGTAGAGAAATACGATTTTTCACTGTAGTTACATATAAAACTTAGTTATTTTTC